ACATGACAGAAGAAGAAATCAATTGTAATGCCATATGAAGAAAATATTGCTTCAAAATGAAAACCGCTTTGATGGTAACTGAAAAACCTTCTTTGGCAGCATCCCTGGCCAATATATTGAGTAATGGACGATGTAATATCAAAAAACGTATGTTGATAACTTGAATTGTTTTCTTCTTCAGCTTCCTCTTTCCTTCTTCCTCATTTCTATAATAATAAATTTTTTCTACGAATATCTTTAGGACTGAATGACTTTTGTTCCGTCCACGAATGGGTGGTCAATTTAGATCCGAGACTGTAAATTTTAAAATGACCTCTGTATGTGAACACGTTATGACATTAGACTTTATTGGAAAATACAACAACTGAGACAAAGTAGATCTGGTAAGATTAGATATATTGCAGTTTTGTTTTTTATCATGTACAGAATAACTGAATTTTTTTAATTTTTTATTAAGTATTCAAAGCAATTGAGAGTTTTTAGCATTAAGTATTTCCATTTTCTCATAATATGCTTAAAAAATATTGCAGGGGACTTGTGAGTTATGCGAAGCAATTGATACTATTAAGGTTCATTGGTCATATGAAGTTTGCACACGTCAAGCTTGACATCATAAAGATCACAAGATTACATATTGCGGACAAGATGATGCCTAATCAGGATACAGCCACGAAAAAGAAGGATATGCGCATGGCAGAGAAATTAGCGCTATTCACAGGCCTTGTAAGCATATTTAGTAACAACGAAGATTCTTTGAATTGAGCTCTGTCTTAAAATCGCATCAATTGAAGTGAATCCACTGCTGAGTGCTGAAATTATACGATTTTATCCGTCACAACGAATAGACAAAGAGGAATGCTTTTTCCAGTCGATGGTCTCGAATGTTGCTGACGTATCTATTTCGTTGCAAATGCATCATTATGAAATGATGATCGGTAGTAAATGAGAGATATGTGAATTAAAAAGTTGTGTACATTAACTAAACAGTATCTTTGTATGATTACAAACTATCTTCATCTAATTTTTTAGTGACAATGTCCGAATAATTTGCGTTAGTATTTCTGTGTAAAAAAATATGACGATTATATATTATTACAGTATATCTGACGATTTTAACATAATTATAGAGGTAGGGTGTCCAAATTGTTATCGTTCCATTCATATGCAGCTATTATACTATTCGGATAGTATCGACATTTTATGCTGCTTAGAAACAAGTAAAAAGTATTTTAAGACACTTGTATCGTTTCCAGAATATAAAAACTTGTGTTCAGATTACAGATATACGTTTTGGGTACTGACGTATCTATTTCGTTGCAAATGTATCATTATGAAATGATGATCGGTAGTAAATGAGAAATATGTGAATTAAAAATATGTACATTACCTAACCCTTCATCCGATTTTTTAATTTTAGTAGTGACAATGTCCGAATAATTTTGCGTTAGTATTCCTGTGTAAAAAAAATATGACTCCTATACGATTATATTACAGTATATCTGAAAAATGTTAGAAAATGAAACAATTGTTTAAAGGTATCCTCATCCTGTATATCATCTATTTGCTTCGCCTGTTAATGACGCGTAAGATAGTATAATCATTAAAGTAATATTTCTTAAATGTGTATATTTTATACTTAATTTTATTTCATAAATACTATCATATTTATTTCTATGAATCGTTCTCATTTATTACGCTATTATGAGGTAGGATATGTAAATTATTACCGTTCCATCCAAATGTAGCTTTTATAGTATTATTTATTGTATCAATACCTTAAGCTGTTTGTATAAAAGTAAAAAGTATTTTAAGACGAGAAAAAAGTATAGAGATAGAAAAAGTAGAAAGAAGGAGAGAGAAGGAACAATATAGAGAAAAGTATAATATATTATAAAAATATTTATTATATTGCAAATATATTTAAATTTATATATTAGTTAATTTTTTCATATATATGTTACCGCTCATTAATTTCAATATACAACAGATTCGTTGATTTCTCTATAAAGGATGAACATCATGATACGTGTTTTGCACAGAAATGAATGCACTTGCTGTTATAAACATTTCACTTGCATGCATCGCATTTTTATATAAATAATATATAAAAATGCAATACATGCAAGTGTTTATAACAGCAAATGTATTCATTTCTGTACAAAACATACGTATCATGTTCATCCTTTACAGAGAAATTAACAAATATAGGGGTATATTGAAATTAATGAGCGGTAGTGTATATAAAAAAGTTAACTAATATATAAATTTAAATATATTAGCTAAGAGATGGAGAGATGGGAGGAAGGAAGGGCAGGGAGAAGTGAAAGAGGAAGGAAAGTGGGAGATAGGAAAAAAAGATAAAGCAATGAAAGCGAAGGTAAGAGAGCTAGAAAGGTGGAGAAAGTTAGAAGAGAGAGACAGAAGGAGAAACAATGTAGTAGTGAAAGGGGTGGAGGTAGAGGAGGGAAGGCGAAAGAAAGCGGTAGAGAAGCTATGGCTAGAGATGGGGAAGGAAGGAGGAATAAAGGAGGTAAAAGAGATAGGAAGAAAAACGGAGAAAGAGAAGATGGTTTTAGTTAGGTTAAAAGATAGAGTAAGAAAAAGAGAAGCAATGCAGAAGAAGAATGTGTTGAAAGGGAGGATGGAAAGAATAAAGAATGACATGACCTTGAAGGAAAGCATCAAAGAAAAATGCAATGGAGCCTGGAGAGGATAGCTGAGAAAAAGAGAAAGAATAGAAGGAGAAATTGGGTAAAGTACGGAAAGATTTGGATAGAGGGAAAGAGGTGGAGTTGGGATAAAGAAAAAAGTCCTGATAGATGGAAGGGGAAATGAGAGTGAGGAGTAAAAAAAAGGAGATGGGAGAAAGAGGAACAGAGGAGAAGGGAAAGAGTAGAAGAGAGGGAGACGGAAAAATGAAATGGAAAGGTAGTGAGGAGGGAGGAGAAACGATGGGAGGGGAGGGCGGAGAGAAGAGGGAAGAGAGGTAGAGAAGGGAGGAAGAGAGTGTGGTGAGGCTGAGGAGAAGGGGGAAAGGAGTCAGAGAGAGTAGAGTGTGGAAAGTAAAAAAGAGTAAAAGAGAGGAAGAAGAGGGGAAGGGGGAAAAAAGGAATGCAGGAGGGAGGAGGAGGGGAAGGAACAGGAAAGAGGCCCAAAGATAGGCTTTTGGGATGTAGGGTTAGAAGGGGAAGAAGAATGGATAAAGGAGGAGGGTTTAATGATTAGAGAAGGAAGATGGAAGGAGGAGAAATGGAGATTGGCAACAGTTTACGTAAGCGGCAACTTGAACATGATAATGGGTAAGATAAAATCGGTGAAGGCGGAGAAAGGGAGAAAAAAGAGATGGATAGTGGGGGGCGATTTTAATGCGAGAACAGGGGAGACAGAAGCGCTGGAGGATGGAGAAGAGGGAGTTGAAAGAAAATCGAAAGATAAAATGATAAATAGGCAGGGGGAAAGGTTGATTAGATGGGTTGAAGAGGAAGGGTGGGGAATTATGAACGGAACAAAGGAGGGGTGAATTTACAGGAAAAAGGGGGAAACAATGATCAATTACGCGAAAGGAGATAGGAAGGCTTGGGAAAGAGTGACAAGATTGGAGGTGGGGTAGATTCGGATCACCAATCAGTAGCAGTACGGGTGGACAAAGGGGGGTTGGTGAGAGAAGAGTGACAATAGCGGACGTAGAGAGGTGGGTGGAAAAGACGGACTGGTCGGAAGAAACGAGAGAGGAGTTTAGAAAAAGAACGGTGGAGGTAGAAAGGAAGGGGGAGGCAATAGATAAAGAGGTCAAAAAGTTGATAAAGAGAATTAAGATGAAAGAAAGG